AGCAACAAATGTCCCAACAGGCAGCGAACAACCAGCAGATGCCACCACCGACGCAGTCGCCAAGCCAAGCCGCTCATCCGTCGTCGAGTCCAATGCAGGCAAACAAGCCTAGCCCCGGTTCAAACAGGTTGGCGAATGCATATCATCTACTTGTTCAATCTGTTCATTCGGCTATTCTTTGTGAATATCGAATTATGCTCGCTTGTGACTTTGCAAGATATAGAAAATTGATGATAGACAATCTGCATCAGTAGTGCAAAAAATTCGTTATACAGGAGCATGCACGAATTCATGTGAAGTTCAGTTATTTCACGAAGTAAAATTCAGCCCATTTTATCTTTAGAAATGCTGGTTATCCTCCGAACTCAATGCGACCTTCATCAAATGGCAGTGGACATTTGAAATCGGAACCGTCCCCGGCCAGTGTGCAGCAGAATTCTAGCGATCAGGTTATACAGTTTGTTGTTGTAGGTTTTTTGGAAGCACCAAGTGGATAGATGAATCATGCGGAAAACTTTTCCGTTTGATCACGCTCTATATACGTGTTTTAAACTCGCATTTTCCGATTTATGTAAGCCACCCATGTTCAGATGTCGAATTCTGGGATGTCTGCTGGTACGGCGCTGAGTCCTACGTCATGTTCTATGTTTGGCAACAATGCACAAGTTGCTCCGACGTCTGATCAAGGACCACCACAGCCGCCTACGGCAAATACGCCGTTCCCTCTCGTCACCCATTATGACATGCCTCCAGCTTTTTTGCATTTGCAAGACTCATTTCAGGTTAGATTGAGAGCAAGCCTCGTCAGTGATTCAATTCATCTAACATCATTTAGATGAGGAACCCTGCCTTGCAGCTCTACTATAAGCGCCGAAAGACGTTACTCATTTTGCCTTATCCCGCTGGACCAAATCTTTCTGTGAGTATCGACTGCTCTACAGTCTTTCGTTCTCTCTAGGAAAGATACAGTGAGGATAGACTGGCTGCGACTAGATAGTGAGAATCCTTTTGGAAGTAATTGTGGGGATATTTACATCTAT